ACATTACATTACATTACATTACATTACATTACATTACATTACATTACATTACATTACAGATAAGTAATGGATGAAATGAAGGAATTGATGAATGCACTGGTAGAACATCCCAGATGAAGAGGCAGGCTGTGGCCCCACCCAGCATCTTATAGGTAAGGCTTCTGAGGCTTGGACAGGGAGGGAGATGTATTATCAGGGGTCGTTGCTTGCAAGTAACAGAATACCAACTGAAACCAACTTTAGATAAATGAGGAGCATGTACCCTCTCATAAATTATGGTAAGGGTGAAACAGGATTTTGAGATGTTCGGAACCGAGAACTCAAACATCCTCTTCATACTGGCTTCCGTTTCGCAGACCACTTTCTCCATGAGTTTGGGGGCCTGGCTGTTGGCAGCTTTATGGTCCCGTCCTTAGAATTTTGCAAATGGGGACAGAAGAGCTGCAGTTGGAAAAGAGAGCCCCAGAGAAGCATTCCAAGGGATCCGATTTGGGACGTGCTGTCCCCTTGACAAATCACTGTTGGAGGGTGGCAGCTCCCAGCTAGAGAAGAAACAATTCTCCCAAACACATGGGGTATCATGGCCAGGACCACCAGGGGAAATCACTGTAAGCTTGGAGGCCACCCCAATTTATATCTACTAGAGGCACTAGCATTTCTGGAGCATCTCAGTACCAGCCTATGTTAGATAATCTCATGCGTACTGTCTTCCAATTACTCTGTGAGATGGATATTGTTGCTGCTGTTTTGCTCCCAGATGAAAAAGCAGAGGTTCGGAGAAAGTAAGTAATTGGCCCAAAGTCCCAGAGACTTAAGGAGCCCAACAGAACACTTAGCCCCACCCTTCCCCATGCACAGTGAAAACTACAGCCCAAGAGGGGAAGGACTTGCCTCAAGTCACAAAGGAGGTCAATAGAATAGTCTGGAAGAGGAACTCACGAGCATTTAGTCACATTACATCACAGATAAGTAATAGACATCTTTGGGGTATTTTCCCTGCTCATGACAATTTTCCTTCTCTCAGAACAGCCCAGGGCCTGATGACTATGGGGAATGACTCCCAAAGGAGTAGCCTGGCAGCTACTGTGTGACCCCATTCCCCTTCCCAAAGCCAACTGGGCCAGTGTGGGACACCCGCTTCATTTGGGCCAATCACCTTCTCTTGGGAATTTGGAGATTCTTTTCACATGGCTGGACCTGTCAGGTGCTGTGAGCAGTCACGTTGCCGCCCCCACCCATCCGATAGAAGGCAGAGAAGGCCAGTCTGGGAAGAGAACAGAACAGAGGCAGAGACAGAAGCAGGGAGATGCCACCCCCTGGATTGCTGAGCCAGGTCAAGTCCTTTCCTGCATCAGGTTGCTTGAGATTCCAAGTTCCTTGCAATCAATTCCCCATCCTAGAGTCAAGTGGATTTCTTGTTGTAAAAATAGCATCCTAATATAGCATGTGGCAAAGCGTTTACTGGAAAGGGGGTCATTGCATGAAGCTGCAGGGTTACCTCAGTCATTTTAAGTGGTCTGACGAGGAGGCCACTGTGGGCTGGAGTGGTCAGAGGGTGTCCCTGGAGCAAGCAGGACTCCTCTGTCCTTGAAGGATGAGAGTCGTGTAAGCAGGGAGAGAAGAGGTGGAGTGCTTCCCAGGGGGATATCACACTTCCCAGGTGATAAAAGGGAGGCTGATTTGAAGGAATTGAGTGTGTGGCCAAGCAGGGAGGTGAAGTAGTAAACAAGAAAGATGGTGGTCTTCTGCTCCCCAGGAACCATCCAAAGCCATCCAAGGTACTACTAGACAGGTGGAGAGAGGGATTGGGAAGCATTGAGCACTTCTAAGGGCTGGTTACAAACCAAATCATTGCAGTGAAAGCAATTCTACCCCCCACCCCGGGCTCTATCTAGCATGACATCAGTCAGTTCACCATTTCCTGCCCTGCCCCTCACTCTCCCACCTCTGTGCCTCCATTTCTGTAGGTATAGTAGCCGAGAAGCCCTTTATCAAACCTCAGTGCACCTCCAAGTCCTCCTTATCCAAAGAGCTTTTCCTGTCACCATCCCCAAACCCCCAAAGTGAAATCCAGGCTCTCTTTCTATGGGTTCTCACTTGGACCCTCTACTGTGTAGTTTCTATCATACTGATCTGTGCAAGTATCTGCTGTCCCTACTAGAACGTGAACCCTGAGGCCAGCAACTCAGATCGGATTCATTGCTTCTCTGTTGCCCAATGCTGGGGCTGGCTCACAATGGGAAGAATTTGCTAAACACCTCTACATATCCACTGTCCATACTAAGCACAGGAAGAAGTGATGTGTTTGCTGCCTCCTTACCAGCCTCCCTCCCTCACTTACTAATCAGGAGGGAGAGCAGAGTTTGAGGGGGTAGAGAGTCTGTCCTCACACAGGGAGCTGAGGAGTTGGGAGCTGTGTATGGATAGCACTGTACTGCGCGGGTATGTGCCAGGAGCTCTCTAGGTTGTGAGTCGAGGAGGGCTCCCCCAAGAGCAAAGCAGTTGGAAGCTTTACAGGCCCAGCTGTGTCGGCCACCCCTGACCCCTACTCTTCATTCTAGTCACATGGTCCTATGGGCCAACAGGCATCAGGCCCGGAGGCTGATGGGCTATATAGTCAATAGCTCCAAAGCCAACCCAGTTTGGCCTGGAGCCCAGGAGGGCCTGGGGCACAGTAGAGATCAGTCAAATCTTCTGTCAAATGATGCTCCGCAAAGATCTGGCTGATCTCTGTTAATCTGTAGTTTTACATCCAGGCTGATACACCCCAAGGCTCACGAGGGGCCGGGAGCGAGATTGGCAGGGCAGATGAAGAGACTGGCTGTTAAAAGCTTGGCAAAGAGGAAAGGAGGAGGACGTAAGCGAGCACTCCGTACCTGCAGGTTCCGGCTCTGACACATATTTCATCTGTTCCTCGCGACAAGCCCGGGAGCTATTACCCCTTCTCCGTGCCAAGTATCCGGGCACTGAAGCTGCTTGCCCCAAGGTGAAGGGCTGGGGCACGGCCCAGGGGGGACATGAACTCAGCTGGCAGATGCCACCCTGTCATCATGGAGTCCCATTGCTGTTAGAGGGTGTAGAAGCAGCACCCTTTCCTCCCAAAGCTTCATGGCCTTAAACCCTCAGCCCCCTTCGCGTTCGACTCTCTCGCAAACGGCTCTCCAGATGTCCGTAGCCTGGCCCCGCTGGGCCACAGTCAGATTACCCTCGTCACAACTGCCCCATTCTTTCCAGCATCGAGTCCTGTGGGTGACGGTGTTCCTGATGTCTGCCTCTGCCATTGGGCTATAAGTTTCACGAGGGGAGGGGCTTTCTCTTTGTCACCGCTCTATCCCCATTTGTTACTCACTCAACAAGAATCTATTGAGCGCCATTCTGTGACAGCCATTGTACTAGGTGTTTGGGATTCAATAGTGAAAAAAAAAGATAAAATTCCCTGTCTTTTGGAACTTCCCTCCAAGCATAGACAATCAGCAAATCTTATAGTGTATTACGTCTTAGAAGGTATTAAGCATGATGGACAGAAATAAAATAGCGGGGGTAATAGAAAGAGTAGGGGTGCAATTTTATGCAGGGAGGGGAGGAAAGGCCTGGAAGGAGGTAAGGACAGAGCCCTTTGAATATATGAGGGAAGGGCATTCCGGACAGTGGGAACAGCAAGTTACCAAAGTGCTGAGATGCGGTCGGGTGGGGTCCCTGGCATTTTCCAGGAACAACAGCAAGGCTGGAGCAAAGTGGCCAAGGGCAGGGCATGAGAGCAGTGCAGATACCATAAAGTCTTCCCCTTCCCTTTGAGTTGGGAAGCCACTGGAGATTGACAGACAAGTCAGTTGATCTGACTTAGGTTTTAAAAGGACAACTGTGGGGGCACCTGGGTGGCTCAGTCGATTAAGCATCCGGCTCTTGATTACATCTCAGGTCATGATCTTGTGGTTTGTGAGTTCAGGCCCTACATTGGGCTCTTTGCTGACAGTGGGGAGCCTGCCTGGGATTCTCTCTCTCTCTTGCCCTCCCTCTAAAAATAAATAAATAAACATTAAAAAAATATATTTAAAAGGACCACTCTGGCTACCTTGGTAAGAACTGATAGTTTCAAGGCCCCTCAGGGATCAAATAGGTATTTTTGATTGAGCAGAGAGTGAGAAGGAAGAAAGAAAGAATCGCTATCAAAGGAAGAAGCTGGAGAGGCAAACCCAGAGGACGCTTCTAACCTTGACGCTCAGTGCTTCTGAGCCCAGTTATAAAAACGTGAAAGGGAACAAATATCCACTTAGCAGAGTGTGAACCTTCCTTCTGCAGGATATCTTAGTAAATGTCCCAGGAGGTCATAAGAATGCCTTGTCACGGGAGATATGCAAGTCGGGCCCGGTGGCCTCAGGAGAACTAGAAGCTGTGGCTTTCATGGGTGGGGGACAGCCTATGTGTCCCTCGGCTCCTGTCCTTTAGCTCTAGCTGCAAGTGCGTGCAGCAAGGGTCCTGTCTCCTCCTCCAGGACCTTCATCTGACCCTCGGGGCTGTCGAGCCTTCCGGGTACATGTGGTTCCTGCCTTGGGTGGTACAAGTGACAGCTGAGGCTGCAGGAGACACTGGCAGCAGAGCGTTTGGAGTGATGTTTGGCTGGGACCAGGGGGCTGTCCAGAGTGGCAGGCTCTCTATGGGCAGAGTCCTGGATTCCCAGCGAGCTGAGGCCAAGGCAGGCCAGGAATTCCTTGCCTTAATTTTTGCCTCTAATTCCTCCCAGAAATGAGGCGTGTCAGTCTTTAAATTCTCGGGTTTTTATGAGGCGATTATGGTGATTACTATAAATCTCCCGTGTGTTGTTTTCAAAGGGGCAATTAAGTGGAGGAACCAGGCACCATTTTCGTTTCTCATTAAGTGATTAGGGTTTGTTTGGCAAATCCCAACATCTGTGGCCAGAGGCAGGCTCTGCTGAGCTTGGCTTGGGCAGCGCGTTAGCCTCCACACACGTGAAGCATCCAACACTTCCCTTCTGGCCTGGCTTCTCCTAGTCGGAAGGAGTTGGAGGGAAACCTTGCAGTGTATAGATGAGGAAACTGAGGCACAGAATGGGGAACCAACCCACCAATCCTGCACCACTAGCAAGCAGTAGAGCCAGGTTCTGCCTTCCAGAGTAAAACTCTAGCCATTACACCAGGCTTTCCATCTGAAGAAAGCGTTTTTAGCAAACCTGTTCCCACTGGCAGCTTTGCTTCTAGGAGGAGCAGTGAAGGCTCCTTCTTTAGCACGGGCTCACTTTTTCCACCTGACTCTTCTTTCTCTTTGAACAACCACCAGTGTCAACAAGTATGGCAGACACTGTTGGTGTCCACCCAACAGTCATTCCCAGCCTCCTTTTCCTTCACCTACCTCCCACTAACGAGGCTTTGCAAAACCTCTCTAGTGGTTAGGAGAGACTACATGACCCAGTTCTGGCTGATGGGATAAGTGGGGGATTTTGCTGGGGGACTTCTGGTAGATTTCCTTACGCCTTCGAGTCACTTAAGAAGAATGCCTTTGCTCCATACTTACTCCCTCACTTCTGCTTTTAGCTGTGGGTGTTTGTAGCAATGTTTGGAGCTGAGGCAACCATCTTTTAACTTGAGGCAACAAACTAGAAGAAGAGAACTAACTGCTC